GTCAATTTGAATTCAAATGCTCCAGGCACCTTCAGAGAAAGCACACATGGCCTACTCTTCCCAGATGCCTTCTGTGATAGTTAGAGTACTCCACAGCTAACATATACAGAAAAAGAGCATTCATTCAGCTGTTCTTGACCACCACCATTATGCTACTTCTCCACAAGAATTCTCCTTTCCTCTTTCATCATCTTTTCTCATGTTTAAATTTATAGAATGGTAAGAGTCCAATCTCACATACAATGAAGGTGATGGATTCTATCTCTTCTCATCCACTCCAATGTGTTTTCCCTACTATCATTCTCAATTTCTCACTTATCTTAAATATCTAATTACTGGCTCTTTCTCTGATGCCCATAAAAATTCCCATGTTTCCCCCATCCTTAAAAGAAAAAAGAAAACCTTGCTTGATCTTGACATTACCTCTAGGTATTATCCTATGTCTTTCTTCCCTTTCATTGTTAAACTCTTTGAGAAAATTCCCTACACTCAGTGCCTTCACTTCCTCTCCTCTCACACAATTCTAAGCTTTCTGAAATCTGGTTTCCAATCTCATCTTTCTCCAAAGTTACCAATGATCTCTTAATTGTCAAATCTAATGACCTTTTCTAAGCCTTATCCTTCTTGGCCTCTCTGTAGCATCTGACACCATCCCTCACTTTCTCTTGCTTGATACTATCTCCCCTTTTTTTGTGATTTAGAATCTTATCAGAACCCTTTTCTGACTCTAAATTCACATCACATCTTCTAGGACTCTGTCCTGGGTCCTCTTCCCTTTTTCCTCTGTATTATCTCATTTGGGGTCTCATTAGCTCCCATTGGTTCAATTATCATTTCTATAGAGATGATTCCCAGACCTATATCAAGCCCTAGTCTCCTTTCTGGGTTTCATTTGCAGATTGCCAACTGCTTTTGGGATATCTTGAACTGAATATGCTGTAGCCAGCTCAAATATAACATGTCCAGAAGAGGACTCATTATCTTTCCTCCCAAATGTTCCTTTTTTCTGAATTTTCTATCACTGTTAAGGGTGATCACCTACCTTTACAATTTCAGTGTCATCTTTCCTACCTCACAGCCACTCTCTCCATTTATCCAATCTGTTGCCAAATCCTGTCATTTCCACTTTCACAACATCTCTCCATTTACACAGTTGCTACCTTTGTTCAGGCTCTGTGGAATACCTCCAGGATTAAACATAAAATGCTCTTTGGTATTTAAAGCCCTTTACAATCTGGCTTCTTCCTACATTTCCAGTCTTCTTCCACACAATCCTATCCATTAGCTCAATAATTCAGCTATAGTGGCATAATTGCTGTTCCATCTCCTAACCTTTACCCTGTCTGTTCCACAGCCCTGAAATGCTCTACTTCTTCTTTTCCACCTCAAAATTTGCCTGGCTTCCTTTAAGACTCAATCTCACTTTCTGCAGGAGACCTTTCCTACTCCCTTCCCAGATACTAGCACCTTCTGCTCTCAGATTGCTTTGTATATACTCATTTTGTGTGTACTTATTATATGTCTGCATGATAAGAATATAAGGTTCTTGGGGGTAGAAACTGTTTTTGCTCCAAAATTTGCCTTAGGCAGAAAAAGAGTAGATGGAGCCACTGTAATGGGATAGTATGCGATATAATGGGATGGACTGCATATAGTTAGCGTGTTGAAGCAGGAATCTAAGACTCATCTGTAAGAGTGGGAGTTGGAATAAGTATGCTCAGGGTTTGCTCAGAGGATGTCCTTTAAAGGAGGGAGGTAGCCAAGGACGCTAGTTAAAGACCAGCAGGTGGCAGCAGAGAGAGATGGGAATCAACACACCATACACCATTGCATGAGCTGCACCTCTACATATGACCCCTGAATATATAAATTTCCTCAGTGTGAAGATCTTCATGGGTGTGCACTGGATATATTTGTTCCATAATGTATGCCCTTATAAATTTGTACTTTATCACCTGTGTTCCTTAAATGTGTGGTACACAATATGATTCCCATGCCTATCTGTTCTTCTTACTGATGCTTTGTGAACTTGCAGGAGAATGTGCCCAAAGTTTATAAAGAAAATGTTCTATTGCCACTTTTCCTTCTATGCCTTTGCCTTGGCCTTACTGTATATTCTGGCTGGCTGGTAAAAGTAAAACACGTTGGTATGGCACTCAGCCATTATGGCTTTGAGTAGATGTGGATCCACAGAGTATCTTGAATCTAGGATAGCTTTTTTCCAACAGCCCCCCTGAACAAGGACATCACAATTCCAAAGTTACCTAAGGGTAAACTTTGGCCCGTTGGTAAGATGAGTTCCAGTGGGGAAGAAATAGCTGTATAACATCCTTCCCACTCTGAGAAAGGTAGAGAGACCCTACTTCTGGAGGCAAGGATGAAAGCCAAGTGGATAGCAACTTTAAATTTAGTCAGGTGAACAAACTCTAAGAAAGAAGAAAACAAGGAATAATTGGAGTAATCTCCAGTCCTATTTAACCCACTTAAAAGTCCAATAGAAATATCAGGAGAGTTCTAAAACAAGCAAAAAGAGCACAGCTAGCAGAAGATAGTGGAGTGACAGATATATCATCAGCAAAGAAGAAACTTTCAAGTGCTATAGGTATTTTCTCTGCATAGAGGGAAGATCGTATGCTGATGGGAAGTATTTAGAAGCATGAGAAGGTAGACAGAGGAGTGGTGGGAAGCGGGCCTAAGTGATGTTAAGCAAAACATTGTAAAGAGATAAGCATTAGTTGAGGTAGGGTTATGGAACAGCTGTGATTCAGACGTGTATTTCTTTCCAAGAGAAAATGGCCTGAAGGGGCATTGAGCATTCTGACGATGTTGAACAACATTCTATAATTGTAGCCTCTCTATATTTAGCTAGGTTGGTCCTCAAATGTAAAACACACAATCCCTCACAAGGTTTGTGTTCAAGACTTTTCCAGTTTGGCAGCATCTTTTGCCAACCTCACGCCCTTTTTGAACCAGAGCCTTAAAGAACCAAAGGTCACTTCCATGCAATGACGTGGTATCGAGGATTTCAGGAGAAGACAAATGCAGTAGAATCTTATTTTAGGGTTGCTCTTTTTACATAGATTAGTTAGAACACCAGCCAAATTATCTCCTCTGAAAAAAACATAATATATATTGGAGTCTAATAAAATATGGATGGATTGTAATGAGTGTTAGTTCACTCCCTTTTCTGCTAGCATTATAAAGGCACTAACTATAAATGTATTAGCCTAAAAAGTATTTATTTAGAACTTCCATCGTTCAAGCCACTGTACTGGGAACAATACAAAACTAAGTAAGACATGATCCCTTCCCTTTCACACCTAACAGTCTGAAAAAGGAATTTGCCATCTTACTGGATGCATTTTGCTCACCTGCAAATGAGGTGACTACATGATTGGCCACTTCCCAATGATTAGCCTTGTTGCTTGGTTGTTTTCTTTATGACCCCTTTGGGGTTTTCTTGGCTAAGATAGTAGAGTAATTAGCCAATTCTTTCTCCAGCTCATTTTATAGATGAGGAAACTGAGGCAAACAGGGTTAAATGACTCGCCTGGGGTCATACAGCTAATAGGTGTCTCAGACCAGATTTGAATTCAGGTCTTCCTGCCTCCGTCTATCCAATGTGCCACCTAGCTATCTTAGAAAAAATAGCTAATAAGCTTAATTTTTAAAACCCTGGGAATTCAAGTAGAAAATATAAAATACTTATTGCTCAGAATGTTGATAATAATAGCATCTTGGAGATGGGCCTAATCTTAAAATATATGCTCATTTAATGTTGAACCAGAATGGTTCAAAGCAATCTGGAAGCTGCATTAAATGAGAAGTCCAGTCCATGAGAAATGGATGATAGAGAGAATAATTATATGTCTTAATCAGTTTAGAAGTCCTTGAAAGCAATTGGATGAAGTGAAATGAGACCACATAGGAAATTCATTTGGATTGCTTGATAAGACTAGTCACACCCTTTGGGTTTTATATAAAATATCAAACCAATTTGGAAGGTAGATATTCAAGTGTCTGGTGGCAGATAGGAAGGAGTGGGAACCACAAGAGCTGAGACTGGCGACAGACAAAGGGGAAAATTAAAAGTAATACTGAGCTGTGCTGGAGAAGGGAGAGAATGAACCATCAGTCCTACAAGCATAGCAAAACAGAAGACTCAAAACTAGAGCCACTAAGTAGGGTGTACCTCTTTAAGGACTAAGGGAACTTCCAAGAAAAGGTCTGCTCTTTCCCCAACTCCCCTTCTCATGCCTATGTATTAACAGAAACTGTAACATAGTCTACTCATTTCTTTACCTAAACATTTCTAATAACCTGAATTTTGGCTCAACTATGAAGAGGCTAGGTGTTATCTAGAGATAAATTTAAGTTTAAATTAAATCCAAATCTCTATCTAAAGTTTAGGAACTTTAAATGTTAGTAATTTCCCTATCTTGGGAAATTGAGTTATTGGGATTGTACTCCTAACTTTCCATTTAGCATAAACTCCTTAAAGCTACTGAGTAGATAATCACTTGGGCCTAAGGGGCCAGAAGCTTTAGGATGAACTAATTATTGTAACTGGCTATGACTGATTACATGTCCAGAAACCAAGGAGGTAGGGAGGAAAGGGTGGGGGCCATAAGTGGCATTTTCTTCTGTTACACTTATAATTGTTCCCAAAATGACAAAATGTAAAAAAAAAAAAAAGGACATGGGGCAGGGAGAGGTGAGAAGGTAGAAAACCCATACAGATTCTGCTGTTTTCGCATTCTTACTTCAGTCTTTGCAGGGTAACTTAAAGCCCAGGTGATTTGCTGCCAGTCACATGTACAGCTGAATAGCAACCTGAAAGAGATCCTTAGACTGTATTCCTATGATTTTTTAAAATTTGCCTAACAAGAAACTACTCTTTTTGTTCATACATCATTATTAAGATTGCTGAATGCCCACTGTTGACAATAACAGTAGACGTAGCTCCTGACTTGAAGAAGCACGTATTCCAAAGTTCCAGCTTTTTTTTTTTAAATGAAATGCCCATGTTTAGTCTCATATGAAAAGAGTTTCTGTGACTTGTCCTTGTTTATGAAGTAGTCTAAGAGCTGGATTGGCTTTAGAATTCAGCTCTTACCTCTTAGGCTTTATCCACACAAGCCCTCTTGAAAATGTATCCCAAGATAACTTGAGCCTTTTCATCCTTTCCTACCACCATTGTCCTCTTCTTTCTCGTTTCTTACTTGAAATTTCCTCACCTGACTTGGTACAGCCACAGCAATGTACTAAGAAAGGTGAATGGATCCCAACATTCATTTCAGAAAGTGGTCAAATGCTAGGGCATGTAACCTAGTTTGCAGACTTCTTGTTATGCCTTAGCTGTCTATTTTCAACCCTTACCAGGGACATTCTGAGACTTTTTAATAACCTCAGAAAATAGGATGGTATCTTCTCCCTGCTACTGTTTCCAACCCCCTTCAGCAAAACGCAGACAGAAATATGAAAATTTTACAGTGTCTTTACTCAATTGTTTTGAGAATGTACAATTCAACCTAGTTTCCACCTACTGAATTTACAATCTCAATCATCTAAAAAACCTGATGGTCCTCAAACCCTAGAAGAACTTTCAGTACAAAAATCCCCTCCACTATCAACACAGAAATCAAGTACTTAGAACTTTACTCTCAAAGATAACACTCATGGTAACTCCCCCTCCCCTCATTTAACAAGTGAAAACACAGCAAAACAAAATCAAGGACCAGACACATCAAGGAACTGACTGTACTGAATGCTTTGTAAAGCAAAGCATATTACAAACACTGGAATGGTTTGTTTCAAAAAGGGGTTTGTTTGAGGGTTCTCTCTCATGAGGAAATGTTATATTTTTGCAAAGTCAGTCTTTCATTTCAATACAATGATTCAGTCAATTGTGTTAAGCTTCAAAAATTCCTTTTTTTGTTTGCCTGTCCCAATATGGGGACTTGAGGCTTTGTCCTATTTTGTTGTATTTTGCTGTATAGTCCCTAGTGTTATATTCAAAATCAGTGCAAGAATCACTTCACCACACAAGATCATTTTGGAGCTAGAATTGGCTTTAAAGAGTTTCTATGATTTGGAGCTCAAAGGGATGTTAGAGATTTTCTAGTCCAGCCCCAGCATTTTATAACTAAGGAAAGGAAGCTGAAAAAGGTGGTTTGGCCAAAGTCATAAAGCTATAGTCTCAGAGAGAGTGCTAGAACTCCTTTGCCCAACTCCCTTTCCAATATTCTTTCCCCTATACTCTGTTACTTCATCCTAGATATTTGAAAACCCTTTTACATATGTTTCTTTATTGGCCATTTGTATTGGTATTTATCTCTCTGCAAGTTAAATGAAAAGCATACATAGTACAAATGTAGAATTAGGAAAAAATATGATAAACATTTCAAATAAATTATTCTAAGTACTCTAAATAAAATAAATCTGTGGCTTAATAAGCACTCAGATTGAAATGTGCCTACGTTTATGAGTTGTAAAGCTTAGACATTAAGGATGATGAGTTGCTGTATGTACATGTGCAGAGATGCTGTAATTAAAACAAAAAATGAATGTAATTTAGTCTAAGACTTCTCACTGAATAGCTGTTAAATTCATGGCAGGCTTGTGAGTTTGGGAGGTCTTGGAACTAACCTTTTCCCTCATCTGTGTCCATAGCCAGCCAGTTGGCATAATAGATAGAGAACAGGACCTAGAATCAGGAAGATGGCCCGAGTTAGAATCCAGCCTCAGACACTTACTAGTTGTGAGACCCTGAACAAAGCATTTAACTTCTGTCTGCCTCAGTTTCTCCAGTGATAAAACAGGGACAATTTCTCTCCTAGGGTTGTTGTGAGTATAAAATGAGGTATTTATAGAGTGTTTTGCAAATTTTAAACCACTCTACAGATGGTAGCTATTATTATTGTTGCCATCAATTCCAGAAACCTACTAGGCTGATCCTGGCCCAGACCCCATCTCCTGTTTGTGCTCCATGCAGCTTCATAATACAACATACATGTTATCATTCATAACAAACTTAAGATCACTTAGGCAAATAGTGTCACTGCCTTGAGGCGGGACACAAGAGATTTGATTAGAGCTTAGATTATTTTCATTCAATCGTGGGTATTCCTGAAAGGCTTTCCCCTCGTCATCTTTGGCCTCCTTCTTGGCAAGTTGTTCTATAAACCCCTCTTCAACAACACATTCCCGCTCCAAATGTTCTACTTTAGCTGGGCTGGTCACGTTTTCAGTATCCTGGATCCACTCCTGTTCAAGTGAAATGTATAAATTAGAACTTCTCCACTAAAACACTTACCTGGCCTTGCATTCACCTTCTTTTGATGCAGATATCCCAAACTGAAATATCAGATGCTGCATCTGCTAGCATAATGCTCTAATGTCAATGTAAGCTAGCAAGACAAGGAGGAAATTCAACATCAAATGGGAGTGGAAATTCTTTTTTCCCCTCTAAAATATGGTTATAAGATCCATTAAATCTCTAGTCACTCATTTCTATGATTTTCTGTTAGGTATAAATTTGGAGAGAATGGAGCCATGTTGGAGATGGAGGACTGGAGATCAAATACTGAATATCAATCACTTACTACCTCTATGACCTTGGGTAAGTCATGTAATTTCTCTGGGACTGAGTTTCCTCATCTAGAAAGTAAGTAGAGAGATGATTTCTAAAGTCCCTCCCAGATCTAAGTCTTAGGCTCAGTAGAATTGCCAATGGAATTGTAAAACAAAACACATTGGACTATAAATTTAGAGGTGGAAGGGACATTTAAGGTCGTCTAACCTATCCCCCTCACTTTACAGAGGAGGAAACTGAGATCCAAAAAGACAAAGTGACTTGTCCAAGGTCACTCAAGTAATAAGGCAGCTAGGTAGCACAGTGAATACACAATGGACCTAAAAATAAGGAAGACCTCATCATCATAGCTAACATTTGCATAGTACTATGTACCAGGAACTGTTCTAAGCACTTCACAATTATTATCTCATTTGAGCCTCACAACAACCCTGTGAGGTATGTAATACTATTATCCCCATTTTACAGATGAAGAACTGAGGCGGGTAGAGGTTAAGTAATTTTACCAGGGTTACACAGCTAGAAGGTATCTGAGCTCTGTATTTGAACTTAGATCTTCCTGATTCTAGGTCCCATGTTCTGTCCACTGCAACATCCAGCTGCTTGAGTTCAAATGTAGTCTCAGACACTCTGTGACCCTGGACAAATCACCCAAGTGTTATCTGCCTCAGTTTCTTTTTCTGTAAAATGGAGAAAATGATGGCACCTAGCTCCCAGGGTTGTTGTGAGTATAAAAGGAGATGATATTTGTAAAGCGCTGTGCAAACCTTAAAGTACTTTATGAGTGTTAGCTATTGATAAACAACAAAACTGAGAGTCAGACCCAGTTTCCATGTCTTCAACTCAAGTATTGTTTTCATTCAAACTTGTGAACTGAGGGCCATTTTGGGGGGTTGTGGTAAGAGCAAGACAGAGGGAAGCTACTCAGCCAGGGTGAGTGTTTCTGGTAGGCTGGTGCCTTGCTCTTCAGCCTCTTCTGCCTCCTACCTCTTTCTGGCTATTTTGAGATTTCAAGAGGGATAGACCTGCTACTTGTCCTGCTCCTCTCCTCATCCTCTGTCCAGTTTCCTGCGATTGCCCCCAGATTTGTATTCAGGAATTTGGATTAGGGTAGTTGAGTAACTATATTTTGATTTGTACGGTAACTTTAAAAGAAAACTGGCTAAGGTATGCTTCATCTCCAAAGAGGAGAGGAAATGTGTTTAAATTACAGAAAAATATAACTAGGTTAAATATCAAGAGAACTTCCTTGCCATTAGGCCTAACAAGTTAGAAGGATATTTTTTGTAGTACCATGACATGAGTTAAGCACACATCCTTTCCTCTGGTCTCACCTATGGAAGCTGAAAAATGAGAGATCCTTTTAGGCCTAATGGAGAGCCTCAGAACAAGCAAAATATTTAAGGGATAGACATAAAAGTTTCTGCTTTTGAATCACAGATTTCTCTCAAGTGTCTGGAGATAGGAAAATATTTCATTTTCAAACAGCTTATTCTCATGTCTTATATTTGACTACAAGTAAGCCTGATTTAGTAACAGTGATTTGAAAAAATCAAACAAAATGCAAAAAAATACTGAGTTACCTGAAAGTTTCCTCTGTGACAATCAAATAGACCAGGAAAAGCATATTTGGGATCAGGTACAACGGGTATGAATAATTTCTTAACTCTGAAATTAGAACAAAAATCTCTTTAGGTAGGTTAAATTCCAGGATGACCATGGTAAATCAGTTAACATCTCTGAGCTTTACTTTCCTTATGAGTAAAATGGTCATGACAACATCTATAGCACCTTTGTCTTAGGAGAGAGCTCTTCGTAAACCCTAGAATAATTTATAACTGAGTTATTGTCATTATTGTTATCATCCCATAGCACTGCCATTACCTTTGGGAACAAGACACTTCATAGTTTTCAATGCTCTTTTGGATCAATTTTACTGAGACTTGACATCAGCCTGCAAGGTAGATAGGCAGACGTTGTTACCTTCTTTTTACAGATGAAGGAAAAGGCTTAAGGTAGGTTATTTAATTTGGTAAGTGAGGTCACAGGGCTAGTAAATAGCAGACTAGAACCCTAATCTCCTAGCCACTGCTCATTCAATAACATCACATAGCCTCAGCTGAAGTAATTTTATAGAATCAGAAAACATCAGAGTCAGAAGGAACATTGGTGACTATCTTTTTGTTGGTGTTCAGTCATTTCAGTCATGTCCAACTCTTCGTGACCCAATTTGGGATTTTCTCAGCAAAGACATTGGAATGGTTTGCCATTTCCTACTGTAGCTCATTTTACAGATGAGGAAAATGAGGCAAGCAGGGTGGTGATTTGCCCAAGGTCACACAGCTAGTAAGTATCTGAGGCCAGATTTGAACTCTTGATGAGAAGTCTTCCTGATTCCAACCCCAGTGTTCTATGCACTCTGCCACCTAGTTTCCCTTGAGGCTGTCTAATCTAACTCATACCTAAAAAATAATTCCTTCTACAACATACTAGACAGATAACACTTAACGTCTTTTACCATTTGGCTCCAATCTAGATTTCCAGCCTAAGTATACGTTATTCCCCTTCAAACTCTTTATGTTCCAGCCAAACTGAGCTACTTGCCATTTTCCAGTATATGATATATCATCTCCCACCTTCAAATCTTTTTACAGATAGTCCCCTTTCCTCCAAGGAATTTACATCTACTCCCCTCTATAGAATCTCTTATTTCCTTCAAAGGACAACTCAGGTGCCATCTCCTACAGAATGCCTCTTTGAAATATATGTATGTATATGTATGTACACACATATTAGATATGTGTCTAACTATATCTTATAATAATATGTACATGTTGTTTTCCCCAAATAGGATATGAACTCCTTATGGGCAGGAACTGTTTTGATTCTGTCTCCATATCCCCAGCTTGTGGCATAATGCTTGGCATATATCCCTATACAATTGAAGATTCCCAGTGGTGGTGAGCAGACTGTCTCCTGAAGTAGCCTATTCCACTATTAGATACCTCTAATCATTATTTTTTAAGTGTTTTCTCTTCTTGAGCTCAGCTTTGCCCTTTGTCAACTTTTTCTAATTGTTCCTACTTCTTCCCTCTAGGATCGAACAGAACAAATCATATCTGTCTTTCAGGTGACAGTTCTTCAGATACTGAATTGTGGCAATTGTATCCCAGCTAGGTCTTCTGTTCTTCAGGACAAACAATCTTTTAGTCAATAAGTATTTGTTAGGTACCTACTATGTGCTAATGCCAGGTATTGTGCTAAGTACTAAGGACACAAGGAGCTCACAGTCTATGCCCAAATCTTTCAACTGATCCTCAATAGTTGACCTATAGCTTTTCACCATCCAGGTAGACCTTTTCAAGATACTATCTAGTTTATCAATGCCATTACCAAAATATGGAGCACAGGTTGAACGTGGTGCTCAAGATGTGCTCTGATAAAGGCAAAGTTAAACTGAACTTCCTCTTTCCCAATCCTATAAATTTTCTTCATATAATACCTTCAGATTTCATTAGTTTTCTCTGTTGCAATATCACACTGTTGAATCATAAATTTACTATGAACTATTACTATTCAGCCACATGCCCCCCATCTTGTACTTGTGAAATTAAGCTTTGAAGCCCAAATTTAAGATTTTATATTTATTCTTAATAAATTTCATCCTGTTTGATTCAACCCAATGTTCTAGCCTGGCAAGGTCTTTCTAAGCTCTGACTTTGCCGTCCAGTATGTTGACCATCTCACCTGCTTTGCATCATCTGCACATTTGATAAGCATATCATTTATGCCATTATCCAAATCATCGATAAAAATAGCAAATCCCACAGAGCCAAGGACAGATCCCTGGGATACTTTACTGGGAAATTGTCAATGTTGCCACCACAACTATTAATAAACACTCTTTGGGTCCAGATAGTTGACCAGTTGGGAACCCATGTAATAGTACTATTATCTAGCTCACATCTCTCCACCTTTTCCACAAGAGTAGCACAAAAGACTTTATCAAATGGTTTATCAATCTGAATAAAACTAACTTTATAGCATTCTCCTTACCTATGAGTTTAATAATTATCAAAAAAGGAAATAAGCTTAAATTGTCATAACTTATTCTTGATAAAGCTATAGTGGTGGCTTTTTGAGATCAACACTTCCATTTATAGATGTTTATTAACAATCTCTTTAATAACTATTCTCAATCACCATGATCTTTCAGAGGTCACTGACAATGCTTCAGCAATTGAATCCTCTGATTCTTTTAGTATCAATGGATGTAGTTGGCTTCAGTGAAATGACCTCATCAAGGGTAATTGTGTCTTAGATCCTTCAGGTATCAACTTCATATAAATTAGCCATATTTTCATATTGTTTTCTGTCCTTTCCAACCTTTCCAACTTAGTCTTAATGATCAAATTTTGGGTCCTGAGCAAACTTTACAGAAAACTGTGCTTCATGTGTAGAAGCATCCTAAAAATACTGATATTATTATTTTAAGAATAATCATTTTGACTTAATTGATTCTTCTAAACTTTATTTGTTTGAGCAAGGGATTCCCCTGAGTGTATTTTTCCACCTAGAGGGTATTTTCTAAGGTTTTTTCTTTGTGGACTAGATCTGTTCTATATTAAAATACCAAACAGTCATCTAGATTGAACAGATTGTCTTGTCTTCATGCCCTTAATATGCTTATCAGATTACTTCATTTCCTTTGAAAGAGAGACTGATGTTGATTGCTTCAGTTTGAGCTCCTCTCCTGCTAAAGACAAAATTGAAATGGGCCCCTTTGCAAGAATTTAGTGCAATATGCCCAGCCAATTTATAACTATAAAGTCATTTGAAGATAGATAATCCCACCATGGTTCAAGGAACTGTATATAATCAGTCCATCCACCCATTGTCAACCTAACTTTTCTGGCACCTAGGCTCTAAATCAGTTTATGGATAGGGGGAAAGAGTTGATGATTAAAGGTTTTTTATGAAATATTTTAAAATGTTTTCAATATGGGCATTTATAAAACATAAGCTGCATATGCTAAAAAAAAAAAACACTGTTATTTTGTTTTAGCCAAAAGGCACAACTTAAGTCTAATGGGCTTTAAAGAAATCACAAAGTACTACTCAAACTCCTCTTCTGCTAAAGCCTTTTTGAAAATAGTTTCAGTTCAATTTCAATAAGTATGTTTCAATCACCTGCATACCTTTGATTGCATAACAAATACAAATGACACATATCAAGTTTTTTCTGCCTTCAGTTTCTTTATCCATAAAATAGAGATTAATAATACTTGTACTACCTACCTCTCAGTTACAAAGTTCTGAGACAATATATGCTAAGAACTTTTTGTTGCCTTAAAGTACTCTATAAAATGTAAGTTATTACTCTTAAAAATCTTACAATCAACTTAGCAGCTTTAAGTGATCCTACAAATACCCATTCAATTTGCCAGTCTCTCAAAATTTATTTTAGAATTAATATCTGGTTGCACATGTATAACCTGTATCAGATTGCTTACTGCCTCAGTGAGGGGGGAAAGGAAAGAGAGAGGGGGAGGGATTTTATTTAAAAAAAAATGTTTAAAATTGCTTTAAATAATATAAATGTTATAATTGTTATTAACACTAAACTGTTATTTTAAAAAAGAATTAATATCTGGCATATGTTGAAGCAATTTTGAGTTTCTATATGTTAGATTATTTGCCTTCAATGTATTTATTTGACTTTTTTTCCAGCTGATCATTTCTTGATTTCCTTTGGTAAAGTATATGGGTAGTCATTGAAACAATGTCTTGCTTACTTAAGAATTTTCTTTCTTCACCATTTGTTCAATAAACATTTATTATGAGCCTTCTGCATACAAGGCACTGGGCTCAGTTCTAGGGGAGAGACAAAGATCTGGGCCCCTTCCTTCAAGGAGCTTAAATAAGTATAGTTATACATTTTAAAATATCCATGACACATACATCTTTTGAGAGCATTCAAGTTTGTTCTTACCTTGCTGATTTCCTCAAAAATAAAAGGAGAAGCAATAGCATTAGGAAGGTAAGCAGACTAGTAATTATGTAGACATATTTTGGGGAAGGTGTTTTGACTATGTCAGTGCATGAATCTGTAAGAAAACAAGATAGTTATTTTACCACTTTGGAAAGATTTCAAGTATGGCCCTAGTGACAGACTAAGTACATAGAGACCCATTGCCAATAGGTTGGCCACTATGGGATGAATCCTTTAGGCATAGCAATGCATGAAACTAAAGAAAACTTTTTAAATGGCCATTTGGGTTGTTAAGAATCAATCAATTTCGAATTTAAGAAAGACCTGGAAAAACTTATTTGAACTGATGCTGAGTGAAGTGAGCAGAACCAGAACATTGTACACAGTAACAGCAATACTGTGTGAGAATTAACTTTGATAGACTCAGCTCTTCCCAGCAATGAGATGATCTAAGACAATTTCAAAAGACTCGTGATGGAAAATGCTATTCACATCCAGAGAAAGAGCTATGGAGTCTGAATGCAGATTGAAGCATAGTATTTGCTCTCTTTATTTTTTGTTTGTTTGTTTGCTTTCTCTTTCTCGTGGTTTTTCCCTTTTGTTCTGATTCTTCTTTCACAACATAACTAATGTGGAAATACGTTTAATATGATTGTACATATATAGGCTATATCAGATTGTGTGCTGTCTTGAGGAAGGGGAGGAAAGAAGGGGGGGAAATTTGGAACTCAAAATCTTATAAAACTGAATGCTGAAAACTAAAAATAAAGAAAAAAAGAAAAGAATCAGACAATTTTTAGACCATTCATAAATTTGAATTCAATTATTGATGTTCAAGCATTAGTCTTTTCCATTGAACTATGAGTTGATATGCCTCTAAAAAAAATTAAAGCGTGCTAATAATGACATATTCACTATTAAATAAATGAGCAGACAATGTGGTACAGTAGAAAGACTACCAATTCTCAAGCCAGAGAACCTAAGTTCAAAATCAACTTCTGATATTTACTACCTCTGTGACCTTGGGCAAGCCACTAAAACTTCCTGGCCTCTGTTTTCCTAGAGCCTTAAAACGAGGTCGTTGGCCTAGATGCCTACAAAATCCCTTAAAGTTCTAAATCTGTGATCTTATGAAAAGAACATGAGGATAAATAAACTATGGGTCCCAGGATTTCTGTGGTAGGAGGAACAAATGAATCGGTGCAGATCATTTCATCAGGCCGCCAAAAGCAACTAGGAAAAATATTCCATTGTTCACTTGGTCATCTCCCCTTACAAGGCTATAGATGGACATAAGCAAAAAGATCACCATGAAGATAATTACATAAAGAGGTGGAGAAATTCTGTGAAAAACTCCAAAAAATCCTCCAAGCCAACATAAATATTGATAGTTTATGACTTCAAAGAAAAAGTAGGCAGAGCAAATAATGACAAAAATATCTTGGAAAATAAGAGTTTGAGGTGGTAAAATTGGAGAGGCCAAAGGTTCATAGATTACTGAGCAGCCTCATACCTGAATATCATGAACACTTTCTTTAATAAGAGAATCAGAAGATGGTAAGCCGAATAACAACATACGCAGAAATTGAACATGACAGCACCTTAATGATGATTCAGTCAACATGCGTTTATTAAATGTTTACTATGTGGAAGGCATTTTGCTAAGTGAAAGAATACAAAGAAAAGAAAAGAATGAGAGAGTAAGCTACTCATTACTGACATTGGAGGCCATCAGCCATCTTCATTCTGTCAGACTATCAACTAATTGGAATAAAAGCTTAAAAATCAACATCAAAGTAGATGAAAAGATAAAAGTGAGACAAAGATACTGTGACCAGGTACAAGAGTTTCTTTTGCTCCTTCAAGTGTTCTTTTAAGATTAAAAATTGAGGAAAGGATAGAGGAAAAGACTTAGATTTTTATTTTTAATAATTCTTATAGAAGTTTAATGGATATAAAGCAATTGTTTTAATGAGGAGGCAAAATAAACCAGAAAACATCGTAGCTAGTAAACACTTGATCCTTCTATCAAGCAAGAAACCACAGGAGACAAAGACAACCCAATTCTAGGATATTATTTCAACTTACAACATTACACAAGAGGAAGGTGGGATTTAATAAGTATTATTTTCTCATAAACAGCAAAGAGGAGTAAATGACAGGAAGCAGTAAAAGATCAGCTAAGTGAGTTCATTCCAAGACTGAAGTATTGATGGATAACAAATCTTAAAGCACTATACAAACACTAGCTATTTTTATTATACATAGTTTAAGATCATGCAAAATTCCTTGATAGATACAAACACAAAAATTATGTTATTTAGTGATCTGAACATTAGTATTGCAAGGCATTAAAGAGGGAGATATACACTTTCCAGACACATTCTCAACTGTCATAGAAAGTATCCTTTACAGAATCCAAATGCAAGAAGGATTTTTAAAAAAATAAGTGATGAGATCCTCTAGACATCCCTTTTGACACATAGCATCATGCTGGTCATTCTAAGCCCCAGTATACAACAGGAGTTCCTCAATGAGGAACTAGGTGAAGTTTATCTTTAATGCCCTCCTTAATACTTTCTCTGTGATCTTTGCCTCTTTTAATAAACTTCTTTCCAATTTCCAGTGCCCAGATTCTGCCTCAATTGCTGCTCAGAACCTCACCCTCCATTGCATTTCCCACCTAGGTCCAGCACTCTTTCCACTATACCACCTATCTGCCTCTAGCATAATTCAATTCACTGTAATGTGATACCTGGGGATATGAAAGCTAAGAGAAATTCCTTCTTTTCCGTCTCATATATTATGTAGAAGAAAAAGGGAAGCTAGGTTATTAACATTGTTGGTAATCTAAAATAAATTATATTTAACCCAGTCCCACATTGGTAAGACTACTGTACCTACAGAGAGCAATGTATCACATACTTTCCCTTGAAATTAATCATTTAAAAATAGCTGTATAGCCTTGGATTTGGCATTACCTTCCAATTTGTTCCTCCTCCAGTGTGTTACAGGGGACCAATCACTGGGGTACGTCTTACTGCCATAAATAGCCATTCTTGTTATCACTCTGGCCCGGAAGAAATAACATTTCTCAGAATCCAAGCCATCTATTGTAATGTTGCATATTGTATTCATGTTGAGCTGGAGATAAATATATGTATCCATTAATTAATTATATACTTTACCAAGAAGAGTATCAAACAAAGCAATGTGTTCTGTTATTCTCAGCCATTCAAGAGACAATTCATCCGAGTGCTTTGTCTGACCATCCTGATCTGACCTTCCCTTTCCATCCATTTCACAGAGCATTAGCATTGAAGGAGGAACTCCTGAATAATGACTTCCCAAAAAAAAAATCCGTCATTTATAATGAATGACAACTTACAAGTCAAAAGAGATAAAATGCATTTGTGAAGTGATATTTAAAAGTGGAATAACTTTTGGTGAAGAGGTATGATTCGGCTATGTGATCCTGCCTGGGCAAGTTATTTCACTTCTCTGGCTCCCAGAAAAGACTTAAATTCTATAAATTATAAGGCAGTTACCAACCCCTATTGATTGATAAAATGAATTTCTTTAGCATTTATATGCACTAATGGTTGTTGTAGCTCAGCTTTGTTTTTATTTTTTTAAGTCTTGTCTTTCTTGGCAGTAATACTGGAGTGGTTTGCCATTTCCTTCTCCAGCTCATTTTACAAATGAAGAAACTGAGGCAAACAGGGTTAAGTGACTTGTCCAGGGTCACACAGCTAGTAAATGTCGAAGGCCAGATTTGAACTCATGCTGACTCTAGGCCCAGCACTGTATCCACTGTACCACCTAGCGTCCTGTACAGCAGTGACATCAAATTCAAATACAAACAGAGGTCACTAAACCAAAAATCTGGATGGGAGTATATTAACTGGTATTTTTATTTATTTGTTAAATATTTCCTGATTATATTTTAATCTGGTTTAGGCTGTACTTGGGACTGTGTGCCAGACAGTTGACACCTCTGTTCTACATTGATAAAAAGGTAGATCTGGATCTTAAAAAATGTGATTTAAAAAAAAAGTTTGATAAGAAGCAGCCATAGGATGTGGGTAGAAAGCTAACTTTAAAATCATGAAGATATAATTTCAACTCTTGTCTCTGAAACATACTGACTATGTAATGCTAGGCAAGCAATTTAACCTAGGCAACTCTCTGAAACTAGAAGTTGCAGAGCAGATGCTGATCTCTATAGGTAGATTAAATTTTCTCACTAAATATTCCTTACACCAATAAAATTATAGGTCTCGACTAATTTGTTTAGAAACTATTAGTTATTACTAATTTCTCTTCTCTTTTCTCAGTTGCATTCTGTATTGACTCCCCGTTTTTCCACTATCCTGTTGTTGTTTAATTGCTTCAGTCATATCCGACTCTTTGTGACCTCATTTGAGGTTTTCTTGGCAAAGACACTACAGTAGTTGGTCTTTTTTTTTTCTCCAGCTCATTTTACAAGGAAATTGGGGCAAACAAGGTTAAGTGACTTGCCCAGGGTCACACAGACATAGCAAGTGTCAGAGGCCAGATTTGGACTCAGGTCTTCCTGACTCCAGGTTTCTATCCACTCTACAATGCTCCACCTACTGCACCACCTGGCTACCCCTTCCAACAACTACATTTCCCTTTTTGTTGACTTTTTTTCCCCACCTTTCCTGCTCCTTTGTCTGAGGCAAATGTTGGAACAAAAAAAAAAAACCAGAGATTTAGAGTAGAAAGATTTGGAAATTATATTACTTAATACTAGTGTACTCTTGGAAAAGTCACTTTATCTTTGTGGACTTCATTTCCCTAGTCTGTAAAATGAAAGAAATGAATTGTTTTTGTTTAGTTATTTTCAGTCATGTCCAATTCTTTACAACCCCATTTGGGGTTTTCTTGGCAAAGACATTGGAGTGGTTTGCTGTCTCCTTCTCCAGATCATTTTTACAGATGAGGAAACTGAGGCAGAGTTAAATGACTTTCCCAGGGTTACACAGCTAATAAGTGTTTAAGGTCAGAATTGGTCTCAAAAAGATGAGTCTTCCTGACTCCAGGCCTGGCACTCAATCCACTGTGCCACTTAGTGGTCCAGAGATGAACTAGATAACCTCTAAATTCCCTTCTAGTTTTATCAACCGCTTCATTTTACAAATTAGAAAGCTGAGGCCCAGAGAGGGGAACCAATTTGTCCAGCTCTACAAAAATAGCATGCATGAGAATTAGAATTCAAGTCCATGTTTTCTGATTATAATTCCAGGTGCCTTTTTTAATTAACATTTTGATTTACTAAACGTCAGATAGGTCACTGGATTGAAAATTGGCTCTATATTAGTGGCCTCTTCAGTTTCCGTACTCTGAGTCATATTTCATTATTAGTATCTCAAAAAGTAGTAAATATAAAACTTTAATAGATAAATTGAAAATAAAATGCCTCCTCCTAGTTAATAGAATATAGTTCACTTTTAATTCAGCAAAATTTTCCAAATTTTTTCTTGTCTCAGTACAGTTATGCCAATCAATTCTTGCCACTCATTACACTAATAATGCCACATGAAGGCCCAGTTGAGTCTTTCAAGACTCAACTCAAATGCCTCCTTCTTCAAGAGGCCTCTCCTGGGCCCTCCCAGTACAAGAATTTTTTCTCTCTACCAGGTATATATTTTTTGTTTGCTTATTTATTTTTATGTTGTCTTCTCAATTAAATGTGAGCTCCTTGAGGTCAGAGACCTTGTTTTTTTGCCTTTCTTTGTTTGCTGAGAACTTAGTTTGGGCCCTGACACTCAGCAGTACTAAATAAATTCTTGTTATTTTAATAATTAATTAAATTATTATTAATTGAATGCTTGTTAAGTGTTTGAATGACTGGTTGACTCTTTACAATTTCACCTTTAAATGCCATGACAATGATCGTGCTTGGTTTAGTCTCTTGCATAGCTTTATGTGTCATTTTTTTTCTCTCCACTACTTTTTGCTTTTTTGTTTGGCAATATTAACTCATAGACTTTCACCATACTCTGATAAGATTTTACCAATGAGTTTATATATTAAATTGCTACTTCCCCCTGCCTGCTTTTCTCCTTACAGGCATATAGTAATCACTTACAATAAGTGTTTGTAGATTGACTGATTGATTGATTGATAATAAGCATTGAAAAATATTCTCAGTGTTTTGTGTTTGTTTCTGCAGTGAACAGACATCATGTGCCTTTTCCTGAAGGAAGGTAAGGCACAGTGGAAAAGTGAGTAACAGATTGGAGGCCAATTATACCTAAAGTGTTGCACAAATAGGATACTTTGTTCCCACTAAGAGAATTCCCCAATGAAATGGATAGATGTTGTTCTAAAATATAAATGACGTTCTGGGAATGTCCCATTGCTCCGTTTTTCCTTCACCATGAACTGTATAGCCTTCCTGATATATATTGAGGAAATTGTGGGAACGGAAAGGGAAAGTAGCCAAAAAAAAAAAACCCTCTAGTATCTTACTTTACCATGAGTATCCGATATTCAACTTGCCTTGGTGCTAGCAAACATTTTTTGTGCCTTCCTTCCTCTATCCAAATAACTACCCATTCTTCAAAACCCACATTGCATCTCATTTCCTCCGTGGAGAATTCCCTGACTACCCCAACTCTGAATGGTCCAGCCTTCCTCTTGACTTCCTTAGAAAAAAGTACCACAGAATCTAATGTTTAATTACATTCTGTCTTATATGGTTTGCTTTTATTCCATGTATCCAGAGGAGAGCAACCAGGATGGTGAAGTGCCCTAAGTCACTGTCACATGAGGTTCAGTTGAAGGAAATGAAGATAATTACCCTGAAGAAGAGAAAATTTGGGGAGGAACATGACAGTTGTCTTTAAATATGTGAAGGGCTATCATGAGAGAGAAGGATGAAAGGGTAGAATCAGGAAAAATTAATGTGAATGGCAAAGTCTAATTTAGGCCTGATATCTGAGGGGGAAAAAAACTTCTTAAGAAGCAGAGCCCTCCAAAAATGTAATGGACTGCTTCAAGACATGGGAGGTTTCCCTCTCCTTGGAAGTCTTCATTCAGAGGTCGGTTAACCAATTGCTAAGTAAGTTATATTGGAGATTCTTTCCCTCTATGGGTTGGACTAGATTGTCACTGACATTCTTTCCAGCTTTCAAATTGTGTGACTCTGATTCTTTTCTCTCCAAATAAATTTTAAACTCCTTGAGAACTGGGAGCATGTCTTAGATTTCTTACATATCTCACAATGGTTAGCATAGTGTCAATTATTGTTACTAATAACAACAACAATGATAATAATAGCTGGTGTTTATATAGTGTTATAAGGTTTGCAAAGAGCTTTACTTCTATTAACTCATTTGATTCTCATAGCTACCCTGATAAGTAGGTGTGATTGTTATCCCATTATCATCTCTTATCTCCATAAGATGGTAAAACTGAGTCTGAGAGAGGTTGTGTGACTTGTCTGCGGCCACAAAGGTAGACAGTGCCTGGGGTGAGATTTAAACTTGAGTCTTACTGACTACAGGTTCAGCAATCTATCAACTACCCCAAGTATATAGTATGTGTTCAACAATTACATATTAACAGGTGATTAACATTCAATTGTTAATAAGAATCGCCTAGAGTGAAAAAATTTAGTAAGATGTAGGTAAAGCAAAAGAACATATAGGTAGGAAGACTATTTTACTTTCTATTTCTCTAACTAGGATGTCTTCTGCTGGACCTGTGATCTCCCTCCTTCTAAGATTAGATAATCAGATGAAGCTAAAAACATGCTTGATGGACTTACCAGCCATTTTTGATCAAAGATGCTTTTGTGTTGAATTTCATAAGTGAGACCAGAAATAGGCAAATCAGAACACGTTATTGTAACTGAGTCTTCTCTCCACGTGAAGCTCACATTGGTTGGAGAGCTGGGTTTTACTGAAAGAGGAAACTTATTTTACCAGAAGTTAAGTTATTCAGAGAAAAAATATATTTCAACTCTATTAAATCCCTGGGGTTTTCTTGCCTCCCTTTCCTTCTTATATCAGTCGTTTAGGATTTATTTAAAAATTTTTCTTTTCTGCTGGTCCATAATAACAGCATTTTATACAATAAAGATTACAGAGAGGCAGAATGGTATGGTAAAGAAAGAACTAGCCTTGGAGTCAGGAAGACGCAAATTCAAATATGCCTCTGACATATCACAGCTTAAACTCTTAAGCACTTGAACTCTCAGAACTCTAAAGTGGCATCTCTAAAATAAGGAGTTAAGTTGTTGAGGACATGCCAAACTGCAATGGGAAAGGGAATTTCCTTATCTGGAAGTTCTCTATACCAAGGAAATGAGATGTCCAGTCCCTTTCCCTAAAGACAATAAACAAATCAGAAAGATGAGCATAACTGAGGTTGTTTAAATTATCATAAATGTCTAGTTAAATTTTAAGACACTTAAATAAATAACATTTGCTCCCCTTCCCTGCAATCAATGGATGGGACTAGGCCTTAGTGCTCAGTCTCTCTCTCTCTCTCTCTCTCTCTCTCTCTCTCTCTCTCTCTCTCTCTCTCTCTCCCTCCCTCTCTCTCTCATCCCCTTAACTTCTCTCTATTCCTTTGTATTTAAACCAACAGCAATGAAAAAAGGCCATGATAACTAGCAAATGCACTGACATCCACCACTGCAAATCCACATTCACCACGTTGGTGAGGGACTCATTTACTACTTTGGACCTGTCTACAAAATGGATTCTACTGGATTTCAGCAGATGAGAAACCAAAACTGTAGACTGCACTTGGTACTTACAGTAACGGCTAAGCCTTACATTCCTTCGTTCAAATACTTTATCTTCTCCTCTCTTGAGTAAAAAAGTCAGTCTGTTGTCTCCAGCCTTAAAAAGACATCCAGTAGTATAACCTTGATCAAAAGTATAGTGAGGACACTGTTGTGAAGGTGAAGCTTTGTCCAATCTACAATTAAGGAATAAAGTTAGTGCTACTATCACTTTATATGCTCATTTCTGCCTTGAAATTTTCAATGCAAGTTAATGTTCATAGACCATCTAAAACCTATGCCACTCTTAGTAAGGTAGTCTACCACCTTTTCTACCACTCTGCCACCACTATAAAAATAAAAAAGACTACCTAAGATTGAGGACCATTTTTGGATTTTCCCTTGTTTTATCAGTAGTCATGACCAAAGCATTCTTTGCCAAGTGTGCAGGTTTTCAGTGCTGAGCTATTCCAGATCTTAGCTAAAGAGGCCCTAAGAACCATGCCTAAAGCTTTCCAAAATGGCAGCATGTGCCAGGGCTCCCACTCTTTTGGCATAACCTTTAAGAATTCAAGATCATCTCCATACTACAGTGAGATATCAGTGTAGGACTTTGTAGAGGTATCATCAGCTACCAAGAAAGTAAGATTGCAGGAAGAACTTGGCTTAAATCATCATTCTTACAGCTTTCAAAGTTTGTTTTCACATTGTTTTTCTCTTAGTTCTGCCCATTTCATTCTTCATCAGCTCATAAAAATATTTTTAAAATTTCATTTTTATAATATTAGTATTATAGTATAAATTGTTCTTTTGGTGTTGCTAACTTTATATCAGTTCATATAAGTCTTTCAATTTCTTTTTGAAATTATCTATATAATAATCTGGTACTTATTAATTTATGTAACCATAAGCAAATCACTTAACTTCTCTAAAACTCAGTTTTCTCATCAGTAAAATGAAAATAATAATATATAAAATACCTTCTCACAAGGTTTTGGGGGGCACAACAAGGTAATAGTAAATCATATCAATAAGAAAAAACATAAATCATGATAATAATAAATTTAGAAAAAAACTTTTCTAAAATACAATATCCATTTATATATTTTTTAATTACAGAACATGTCAAAAATGTAGGAAAAAATGGTCACCTGAACTATATAATAGTCAGACTCTCTAGTGCTGGCTTCCCCTTAATCCCACTTCTGGTTTTTAGAACTCTAATATTAATACTGGTAGAGTCTTAGGAGTTAGGACTTAGAGCCTCATACTTATGAGAAAGTTGTGAGAGATAGCAGCATATAGTGAAAAAAGCATAGGATTTGGAGGCAGGGCACATGGGTTCAAATCTCAGCTCTGGCATTCAGTGTGACTTTGGGCAAATCACTTGATCACCCTGAATCTCAATTTCTTCATTTTTTTTTTGCAATTGGGGTTAAGTGACTTGCCCAGGGTCACACAGCTAGTAAGCATCCAGTGTTTGGTCTGAGGATTTCTTCATTTTTTAAATGAGAAGGTTAGGCTAGATAACTTCTGATGTCCTTTACAGGTTTGTACTGATGATTCTATAAAGACCTCTAGAATCAATTCTCTGTAAAGGCCAAAGGATGAAACTGCACTCTAAAAGATAGAGACTTAAATAAAATATAATCTTCCTCTAGCATTCTCCTTGCTCCCCATATAAGGAAGATATTTCAGAAAAGCATATGTGATTCATTTTCCATTGTATTAAGGATTTTCTTCATAAATACTTACTCATAAAAGAAAGTTAAATTCTTCTCAGCCAAATATTCACTGACATTCCACTTAACATGTGTCCTTTCAAAGTTGAAGTTGATGATCTGTATACTCACATTGTTTCCTAAAGAGAGAAATAAGCTAGTAAATACAAGGGAGTCATGGCTGGATTTTTTTTAATCTTTGACCACAATCAGTCAATAATTATTTATTAAATGCCTGCTATATACTAGGCACTGTGCTCAGTGCTGGAGCCAAGCGCGAAAGTTAAACAGCCCCTGTTCTCAAGGAGCTTACTTCTAATTGGGAGAAACCATCTATCTATATGCACACACACATACATACACATACATATATACAAAGAAAAGAAACAAAAAGAGGAGGGAGAGAGAGAAAGAGAGAGAGAAAGAACATGCTAAATAATCACAAGGTATTGGGGAGGTACAGCACTAGAAGCTGGGAGTGGGGTGGGGTGGGGTGGAGGTGGAGAGTCAGGAAAGTACCCTTTTAGAAAGTAGCAAGCATTAGAAGCTTAAAGGAACCCGGAGATTCCAAGAAACAGAAATGATGAGGGAGTGCATAACAAGTATGAGGAACTGTCATTGCAAACAAACATTCATGAAATGGGAATATATCGGGCAAAAGAAAAAGACAAACTATTTTAAAGAATACATTCATAGTTGTGGCTGCTTTCCTCACAAGTTTGTAGCAGGCAATAATGATCAATCAGAAAAACAAACACTTATTCGGTGTTTACCATGTGCCCTGCCCAGGGCTAGAAGTATAGTATGTGGCCCCTGTCCACAAAGGATTTATAATCTCCTTGAGGTAGCATTGCAAAAAGTGAAAGAGTGAGTACATGATAGGATGGGATTAAGTGTCAAAAGAGCCACACGTGCAGAGGTGAGCTGGAGCCAGCTCTTAGTTCTCAAGAGCCATCAAATTGTTAGAATCAGCCTTTGTATTTTGTAAACAGGTAAATGCTACAAATCAGGGGTTGAATTATTCTTTTATTGATTATCTAAACTTAAGAAAGTAGTGGAGAAAGTGCTAATAATGCAGATTAAACTTAAAGTATGCCATGCATACTTTTTTTTTCTAGATAGCTGGTTATTAAATATTTACCACTGCATCCTTGGGCAAACAATAATGGCAATAGGGCCTCAGAGGAGGTAAGAGATCTATATGGGTCAGAGCTTTTAGGATCTGAACATTGTACCCTTCTTCGGCCCCTTTATTGAGCTGGATCTTTAAAGATAGGAAATGTTCTTGTCAAGAGGCCATGGAGAGAGAATTCCAAGTACAAAGCTACATGAAGATAAGGAAGTATAAATGAGCAAGCTTTGTTTCAGCAAATGGTACAAAAATGGGCCTTGCTAATGTGTAGAGTTTGGGTTGGCAAGTAGTGGGGATTAAGTAAGACTAATAATAATAACGATAGAATTTATGTTGCACTTTAAGGTTTGTAAAGCTCTTTACATTTTTTATTTGATTCTTGCAATAAGCCTCGGCAGTAGGTACTATTATTCTCCCATTTTAGAGATGAAGAAACTGAGGCTGAGGAAGGTTGCAACCTGCCTAGGGCTACACAGTGAGTAAGTATCCAAGGTAGGATTTGAATCCAAGTGTTCTGACTCCAAGTCCAGTATTCTATCCATTGCACCACCTAGCTTCCCTGGTAGTATCAAACCAGACTACAGAAAGGAGTGCTGATTAATGTCAGATTAGTATATCCAAACTGATTTCTACTATCATAAAGCAAGAAAAAACCTTTAGATTTTAGCAAAGAAGCAAAAAGAGGGAAAAAAATCCAATCTCTCTAGAATTATTTTTGTTTTGTGCATATTGCATTGGCCTCTAATCACAGAGTTCAGCTTTCTCAATTAGTTTGAAGAGTATTTTCTAGGAATGTTTTCAGCTGGTTGTTGTGCATCCTTCATTTTCAAAGAGGACCGACGACATCACGGGTAATGACATACACATGTATTGAATTTAAGTGAGGCAGAGTTGCACAAAGTCAGCCATACTCTTTCAGAGTCATTGGAGTTCAGAGGCAAGATGCAAGTCAAGATGACTGGTGATGGTTTGGGATGCATCGGATGACCTTGGCATCTTCTGTGTCTGACCAAACTCTGAGCTCTCCACAGCACCTGCTTCAGCCACCTCCATGGCTGCTGGAATTAATTGTTCTCATTCACTCATTCTGCTGGGGGATGTCTTCAATTGTTGGGGTAGGTCTCAACTCACTGGCAGGTTTGAGGCCTCTCAGTTACCCTTAACCTAGTTTAGCCATCTGCTAAGATGATTTACCAAGATGTGGCCATTGCACATGCTACAGCTTCTTGGAGCCACACGTGAGAGTTGGGTGAAGGTGGCCACCAAAGGTGGATGAGCAGCCCTGAAAAGGGCTCAGCAAGCCCTCACACCAGAGGTGCCAGGCCTCCCTGAACACGCCATGCATTCAATTCGTACAATGCCACAGAGAGTAGAATGAGGAGGACTGGGAAAGAACCAAAAAGAGGCAGAATTCTTATCTTTTCATCAAAAATTGCCCCTACTCTTGCTCTTCATATCATTCCTCAATGAGCAGTGGGGGCCCATCTCTGATGTAAGTAAAGACCTGCCCTTGCTAACACTAATCTTCTCATTCCCTACCCCTGAATTATCCTTGTTTGTTCTTTTCTCGTGCTCTCACTTTCATGAAGTTGATCTCTCTTTTTTTTTTTTATCAACATCCCCTTATGGTCCCTTTCTTTTATCTTCCCTTTCCTCCACTTCCACCCCTGCTCTGTTCACATGGATTCCTAAATGTTACTTGCTATGGCTGGAGCCTTTAAAAAGTGTTCCCTTAAATGGTTCCATGGTATAGCAAAAAAGAGCATTGGATTTAGAATCAACCTGGGTTTGAAACCCCATTATACTACTTACTACCTGTGTGATTTTGGACAGGTCACTTCACTTATGCAGACCTCAGTTTCCTCATTTGCAAATGAATGAGTCACTCAGCTCTCCCTTACAAACTCTGTTATGGGCATTTGGAGAACTCAGAAATTTTGGCCAGCATGTAGACTCTATTTTTCCCCTGTGTGTTGGCACGGGCAGTCCTCCATGTTGGGTAGAGTAGTAGAAAGTTGGCTGATATTGGCATCAGAGGTCCTGGTTTCGAATCCTGACTATCACTACCTATATGATCTTGGGAAAGTCATTTATTATTATTTCTAGGAAAGCTCCTGTTTCCTTATGTATAAAATAAGGGGAGATGGGGCAGCTAGGTGGTACCATAATGCATAGAGTGCTAGGCCTGAAGTCAGGAAGACTCATCTTCTTCAGTTCAAATCTGGCCTCAGACACTCACTAGCTGTGTGACCCTGGGCAAGTCACTTAACTCTGCCTCAGTTTTTTCATCTGTAAAATGAGCTGGAGAAGGAAACCACTCCACTATCTTTGCCAAGAAAACCCTAAATGGGGTCACAAAGAGTCAGACACAGCTGACATGAATGAACAACAATTAAAACAATAAAATAAGGGGATTGGATTCAGGGGTGGGGAACTTGTAGCCTTAAGGGCACATGTGGCCCTCTAGGTCTTCAAGTGCAGCCCTTTGACAGAAACCAAACTTCACAGAACAAACTGTTCCCCACTCCTGGATTAGATGATCTTTCTGAAGGCCTTTCCAGTTACAAATTTATGATCCTGTGATCCTATGAATTCACTTTTTCCCTTCTTCCCCCTAATTATTGGAATTCTTGACTTGCTTTCCAACTCAGCTCAACTGCTCCCTTCTTCACGAGGCCTTTCCAGGACTCCCTAGCTGCTACTACTACTACCTTATCTCCAAGGTTCCCTTATACCTCTTTTGTATGTGTTTTCCATATGCCCAGATCTGTGAATGTTTTCCATTTTCCCTCCATTTGACTCTATTTCTTGAGGGTGATGACTGTCTAGTTTTTCTCTTTGTATTCCACAATGCCTGGCAAGTAGTAGATCCTTAATAAATTTTTTTTATTGTTTTCCTTGCTTGCTTGATTAATGGATTAGAGAAGAGCAAAACTTAAAACAGGGAGACTGTTTTTCAATAATTTGAGTTGCAGGTGATGACGGCCTGAACTAAGAAATGGAGCAGTATAAACGGAGAGAAGAGGACAGATGTGAGAAATGTGGAGTATTGTTAGCTAAGTAGAGCTCTTCTGGGTTCCCAGAAGTTTCCTTGGTCTCCTGTTTATGTTGAAGGGCTCCATCCTCTTCTATCTCTACCCAATAATCACAATGTCCACATGCCATTTGACTCTGGCATAGAGACATTGGGGGCCACTCTATTTTGATTTTATTTTATTTATTTAAAAAAAAATTTTTTAGGCAATTGGGGTTAAGTGACTTGCCCAGGGTCACACAGCTAGTTAGTACGTGTTAAGTGTTTGGTCTGAGGCTGGATTTGAACTCAGGTCCTCCTGACTTCAGTGCCGGTGCTCTATCCACTGCGCCACTTAGCTGCCCTGGCCACTCTATTCTGAACAATAAATATTAGTTGCCAGTGTGCTAAGTTACTTGTCATGTAGCTATCAGAACTTTATTATGTTCAGATTAGAGCTTTATTTCATACCTCTTTGGCATTGTTCAGAAATCATTCCATATCTTTGTAAGAAAGTCAGTGGCTTCATTGCTGGCAGAAAAGTCTGACAAAAGTTGCCACCACACTAACGGTTCCAATAAGAGTTACGTGGTCCACAATTGGCATAATGGCAGTTGAAAGAAACTACAAGGAAATTTCTCACTTCATTCAAATAGTTTTCTGATTTAAGAAATAGAAGCCTGAGGCAGATCCATTGTAAATGATAGACTTACTCTAAGCCTCTGGGTTTCTGTTGGCTTTTGCTGTCAGGGCTATGTATGGCAATGAGTCTGAGTCTAAGAAAGAGCTTGCCTGGTCCTGTAGGCTCAAGGTAAAAAAAGAGCCAAGACACCGACTTGTGGGGAAAAGGACATAAAGCAGCTGAAACTCAGCAGAAGACCAGCAAGTAGCAGCAGAGGACCCTGACAGGAGAGTGTAACAATGGAGGAAGTACATTGTGACTTGATAGCATTCACCAGCCAAGCAGATAATCCTCAGTGGCCCAAAAGAGAAAG